GTCGTGAGGTGAGAAGTAGTTGGCGGTTGCCCCACAATCAGCCAGCGGACGAACGTAAGGACCGTTAATGCGGAGTTTGAAGAAGATCAACATTGTTTTCCCTTGCGCACGTTCTTGCTTCATGTGAGCCCAACGCAACAAGAGAGCATGAAAGTCAATCTCTTTCGACTCCACCCAAGGCTCCTTGTAGAGGATGTGAAATTTCTCAGCCTTGGAATCCACATTAGATGGGGTATCAAGGGAGTAGAATCAAAATCCGGTGAAGGATCTGCACTTACATGATCAGCCTCTCCGTCTGTAGAGAGTGTTGATGATATCTCTACCCCCTCTGCTGGTTTCCCTGTTGCAATCTGAAGCATGTTGGACCGAGTTTCCCGGTTTGGTGCAGGCAAACTACTTTCTTCATCTTGTGTTTCCACTCACTTCCACTAATCCAGAGATCTACCCATGGTTTTGTGGCAAGATCCTCAGGTTTGGGTGGAATCTTTGCTCCCTTGGGGAGGTGAATGGTGTTAGTGTTGTTTTTCACTGCGTTTTCTCAGAGGCATTCATTGATTCATCATCATCTACATAGTCGGACTCATGGGCTGACGAAGAGCAAGATGCCTCGCAGTCTTGCTCTTCATCGTCACCAAGAGAAGGGGCCTCTGTGAAGGCCTCCTCGTCAACCTCAAGTTGATCGTGCGCTGCAAAACGGTTGCTGCCCGGAAACCGTTTGCGGCTGGTGGTCTTTTTGCCACCCTATCCACCCGAGAGGTCCTGTGCCTCCAGCTTCACTAAATCCCGCATGCGGGAAAGCCGAGCTGTATATGTTACGAGTCCGAGCCCCGGGCGATGTGTTACAGTAGATGTCCTGTGCCTCCAGCTTCACTAAATCCCGCATGAGGGAAAGCCAATCTCTATATGTTATGAGTCCGAGCCCCAGGCAATGTTACAGTAGACGGAATTGTACCTTCAATCACATCCAAGCAAGACTTCGCAATCATCTCCAGATCAGGAGCACCAAAGAGTTTACTAACATACTGCTGCAGACTATGCATGGTGTCCGTCCACTTGCTGTGCTTGAGCATGTCAAGCTTGAGTCTAGCTTTGGATGCAGCATGTGGATCAGCATATTGCTTAATCAAAAGATCCTCGAGTGCAAATATAGGTGTAGCCTTCAACCATTTGTTCAGGTGTACTTTTATAGCCTGACTGTACAACTTGGACCTTCTAAGAAGAGCCTCTTACCACGGCTTCCACATTGGTCCATAGGACCAACGACTGAGTAATCGCGGGTGTCCCCAGCACATCAAAGTAGGATCGCATAGAGCTGATCCAAGATTCAATGTCGTCCTTTCCGTCATATTTAGACCGAATATGTGCCGCCTTCCTATCCACGTAGGGAAAGCTGCAGCTAGGACCAACGATTGCTGGGTCCGAATTCAGGGCTGCAACAGTTCCAAAATGCCCTGTACTGCCACTTGCCACTACAGCAGCAGCAACAGCAACAACAACAACGGGGTCTGGACCTGCTGCAGATCCGAATAGGCTGTTGACCACACTCAAAGAAGAAGAGAAGAAGAAGAAGAAGAAGAAGAAGAAGAAGAAGTTAGAGTGGAAAGAACGGACTGACACGCAGCACTAAAAAAAGGGTAAGCAAACGAAAGGACACTTTGGGCTGGCTGCATGTTAGCAAACTGTTGCAGCTGGTCACGGTGCTGCTGCGCCATCAGGGCCATATCCTTGCGCAACTTCTCGAGTTCTTCAAACACCTTTGAGAGTTGGCCAGTATGGTCTTCAAAAGCCCGGACATCTACTAAAGCCCTGAGAAGTGGTATATTCTTCTCTTCCACCTCAACATCAGTTAAGGCGGGCACGGTACTGAAGACCACTTCATGAGCCTTTACTTGGTCTCCCTTGTCCTTCTCCTTCTCTTCCTCTTCCCTCTTTAACGCTTTTTCATAAAAGAACTGGTACTGCGCTTTTTCTGCCTCAGAGGCAACGTCCATTTGCAGCTTCCATTCCACTGCAGACGTCACACTGGAGGATGAGGGTATCAACAAGTCTCCCAAGAGTGGTCCGTACTTTCTCACAGTTCTGGGACGAGCACTCCTCTTTCCTCTCCTCACCCCCTCGAGAGCAACNGTATCAACAAGTCTCCCAAGAGTGGTCCGTACTTTCTCACAGTTCTGGGACGAGCACTCCTCTTTCCTCTCCTCACCCCCTCGAGAGCAACACTCAAAAACTTTCTCTTCTCTCTCTCTCTGTGTGTGTGTGTGTGTGTGTGTGTGTGTGTGTGTGTGTGTTGCCATCGCATAGACGCAGGCATATTTAACGAACCCAATGAAAGAAGCATCTTAAAAGCAATTAGACGAGAAGGTAAAACTCCTAGCCAGAGCGGCAATTCATTTGGACTGAAGAGCAGTCAAAATACCCAAAAAAAATAAAAAATAAAAATGATCAGAGAGATCTGATTCTGCAACACATTCTTGTCCGACTACGTATGAGGTCCTCTTAAGCCAAGCCAGACTCGGCTCTATAAAGACGCAACAAATCAAATTCACAGTGTACTACACAATGCAAGAGAGAATTGAGTGGTGTCCAAGGTGCGAGTCAGGCGGCGGAACGTGCGGTGAAGTCCGTTGAAACGTCTCACAGCTGAGATCCCCTCAGCACCGAGTGTCCTGGTCCGAAAGCATGAACTCCGAGTCCCAATTAGATAGAGCAAGGTAACTAACGTCAACAGATTTGGGCCTGAGGGGTCCTTCTCGTTTGGGCCTCTGGTCCCACTGAGTCCCAAATGGTCCCAGTGGAGTCAAAACCGGGTCCCAACCAACAAGAGTTCCACAAAGTCCTACTCTCTGCCCCTACCGAATTGAAAAGCGAACTTTAGCCCCAGAAAGAACCTACAGACTACAGCCGTTCAAAATCAAATAACTAAAGCACCGTAGAAAGATATAGCATGGCACACAAAATACTCCATTCATTCACTCTTCAAGTGAGTAAGTAGTTCACACACTTCACACAAGATCAAGACTATGGAGGATGGAGGAAGAACCCATAATACCCCAACAGGCAGTCAATTCCATGCACACACAAATGGGCACCCTTGCGACACGACACTTACCTGAGTGGCCGAGCTCTTGAGATGAAAGAAACTCACCCCTCTCTCACATAGTCCTCCTTACCCAATTAGCATCCTCTACACTAGTGTCCTATCATCTAGGAGGGTCAACATCTACCCCAAAGTACATCGCCGAATCCCCCGTCGATGTTGAAGACCAAAGTAGTAACTTGCAGTCCATAGGTGCAGATATGGCTGACACCCTCAAGCTCGCCTAACTTGAGGGGAGCCCTAAGTCGCTCCTTGCCTTCCGTGAAGTCCAAATTCCAGCTGTAGGTGCCCTTCACTGTGCCTCTCTCGAATTGCATCACAAGTCCCACCTTGTGTCTCGCCACCACAAACATGCACTCTAGCAACCTGGCCCGGTCTAATGTCGACCCTGCCACGCGATAGCAGCTTCCCTTTCACCACGCTGCCCCACTTAACCCTAACCTCCTGCCCTAACCCTAGGTACCACTTAGGTTAGGGTTATGCCGGCAAAGTCAACTCTCGCCAGCAAGTAGAATTCGCTCCGATACTTCATCAGAAAGTACAATGCCGTCCAATTGCAAAAAGACATGAATGAACTTGAGAGGAGAGACAGGGAAAGAAGAAGAAGAAGAAGAAAGAAAGAAGAAGAAGATGATGTACTCCAGCATAGGCCAATGACAATGTTATTCTCCTTCGCCAACCACTCTCCTCCTCCTTATCTCCTCCCCTCTTATTCAAACAAGAAATAACAATAACAATGTTGAATGGCTGAACCAGAATCAATGTCCGAATCCCTCTTCTACTGCAGGCACAACATGAGATCCACCATAGCCATGGCCACCCTTCCTCTTCCTCTTCCTCTTCATGTAGGCCGAGGCTATGACAGAGTACTGAGGGCTCTACCCAAAGGACAACCCAAAGCAGCTATGTCGCTCCCAAGGTCAACACAAGGCAGCTATGCCGCTGCCCATTCAGCCACCATTGAAAAATCCAGTAATCAGGAGGAGCAGGTCTGGGCATCAACGAGACTCTTTACAGAGACGGATATTCGATGCCAATGGAAGAAGTTCAAACTCCAGATTCGGCAAAACCCGGAGAAGCAACAAGAAGTAATTTCCAAGTTCAGGTCGGTATGGTTGGTCAACGGGAAGATAGCCGACATTCACGCTCTGCCAAATCAGATGGAAGGAGTGGCATAACTCAGAGACTTCCCAAAGAACAAGAGCTTCTCTACAGGCTGGACAACAGGACTACAGGGATATATGACTCTCCAATGCCAATTCAGTGTATTAAGTTACCTGGTTTCTTGGAAGACTAGCATATCTGACAGGCCCCAATAGAGGAGCCTGCGAGGAATTTCAGGGACAGGCAAGCTGACAGTCAATCCTCCAGATCTGTGGCGCACTCATTGCTGATCAGGGTCCCTTCGGCCAGACGGGAGGGAGTGTGTGTGCGTATTTGATGTAATCTTGTTCATATGACTTGCCGGGGGAATAGGAACCGGACTAATGCTTCCCAGGAAAAAAAAAAAAGAACCATGACGAAAAGCTAAGTCCATCTGATGCCCCCCTGCAACAAAAAAAAAAAGAACCATGACGAAAAGCTAAGTCCATCTGATGCCCCCCTGCAACAAACGGCTTATATCCAACGTCTCACGATGCTCCATCAACATCAACCGCCCACAATTAGCACTACAAATTTTTACACCGAACGTCTCAAATTGTCCAATTGCACGACAGCCTACAATGTGGCAGCCAGTCGAGGTCAGAAAGTTGTAGGTCAATCACCAGTCGGGGATCAGCATCGCACGGTCGAAACACACCAGCTGGGGTCACGTAGATGGCCCACGGCTGGAAAGCTCCAGTGTGTTGGGGGATAAGAATTGAAAACTGTTTATTTGGTATTCGGGTTTATAGGCACTCACCAAGCAAATCAAAGCCGGTATCCTCACCACGGAATGCATTTACAGTGTCGGAGTCCAGGGTAAGAGGTGTTGTCTGCAGATAGGTTGATCTCCCAGCCACACAAGGTTTCCCAGAACTTGACCTCCGAGGGGATGCCGCCCAATAATCCTCCTTCTTGGGATAGTACTCATGCAGCTCTGCTCGCCTTTGACTCTTCATGTCCTGCTTTATTCCAACTCTAAGGTCACCATTTAATCCAGGTGGAGAGCTTCCCACAGAGCTCCCAGAGCTTCTCCTGCTACGCGGCCCTCCAGGTGATTGAACAGCGCTTACTCTCCCTGGAGAGTAAGGTACTATTGTTCTTGACGGGGTGACTGACATACCTCCTATTGTTCTTGACGGTGCGACTGACATCCCTCCTTTCCCCGATAACCCTGACATGGAGGCCTTCACTGATGCACCACCCAGGCTTGACTTCACAGATGAGCTCCCAAGACTTGGTGCAGAGCTAAGACTCCTCCGTGGTGTAGCCATGTATCCTGGAACTTGTCCCGCCCCTTTGATGACAGATCCTGTGGTTGATCCAGTGGCATCTGAAACTCCCCCTGGAGACAAAGAAATGCTCTCAGATCTCTCCCTCAACTGCCCCAGACCTGTCATTGACTTTCCGTGAGGTCTGTTCCGGAACCAGGAGCCAATCCCCATTCGATTGGCCTTCGAGTTCGTGCGGACAGGGGACATCGAAGGGGGAGGCTTCATTCCTGGCCCGCTACAAGAACTTTTCCCAGCTGACTCTGCATCTGTGTCAACTTGTTTAGGAACGCCGTCTCCTGGGCCGACCTGTGAACCATTGCTTTCAATATTCTCAACCAGAAGCTTTGTACTGCTATCACTTTCCTCTCCCTGTTTGCTCTCTTCCAGTGGTCGGTGTGGAGCAATGGCTACAGATGGCCTGCCTCTGCCTGCGCACCCTGGTTCATCAAGGCCATACACCTGGTCTTCCCCCTCCAATGCAAGTGCACGTAGACTGTTGTCTGTCGACTGCGAAAGGCCTCTGGTAGCAGGAGAAGAACGCTCGTCAGTTGACATTCTTAGTCTCTGCAACCCATCATGGATGCCACCTATTCCATCAAAATCAGTTGTCCATCTTCGCGCCCTCCTCCCCGAAGACCTAGCCTCAGCTAGCAATGATGAACGAAGACAAGCAAGGGCATTTACATCTGGATACCATTCAAATGACAATAGAAAAGATACAAATGAAAAGAGATTAGCAGCTGCATCCGAGAAACCATTCTTGGCCAACTAACTGTGCATAACACCTCGTGTACACAACCTTAGCCATCACCAGCAAAGCAAGGATAGTTCTTCCTACACAGCTGGTGGAGCAGAGACGGCCGGTCTTTGGCCCGCCTCCCCCAGCCTCAGCTAGCAATGATGAACGAAGACAAGCAAGGGCATTTGCATCTGGATAACATTGAAGTGACAATAGAAAAGATACAAATGAAAAGAGATAAGCAGCTGCATGCGAGAAACCACTCTTGGCCAAGTCACTGTGCATAACACCTCGTGTACACAACCTAGACATCACCAGCAAAGCAAGGATAGTTCTTCCTACACAGCTGGTGGAGCAGAGACAGACGGTCGTTCCCCCCCCCCCCCCCCCCCCCCCCCCCCACATACACACACACACACAGAGAGAGAGAGAGAGAGAGAGAGAGAGAGAGAGAGAGAAGAGCAGCAGCATGTAAGCTAGGATTCATCCGACATGTTGGCTGCATTGTAATGCTTTTTCCTGCAAAGAATTACGAACCTGGCAAATAAGTCCTGGTTAAAACCAAGTATGTAGGGAGAGAAACAGTTCACCCACCTTCCCTGCCTCCATCTGCTTGGGGAGCAGACTCCCCCGATGACTCTGCTGTACTACCGCCATCACCCCTCACTTTCTCTGAGGACCATGGTGTTGTGCCATTGGCACTCCCACCCATGTTCTGCCACAGTGCCTTTCCACCAGGTACAGAAAGAAACTTCGCAGTGGGAGTGGGAGGGATTGATGAAAGCTTGCCCTCACTCTCCACCCCAGCCCCTTTGCCGGAATCTTCATCTCGCAAAGACGAGTTCATGGCTGATGAAGCCATTGCCAGTACATCAGCTCCTCTTGGGCTCAGTATGGTGGACAAACTTTGCCCAGCAAGAGATGCCCCATTGCTCCCAACCGTATCAAAACTGCTCCTCTGCTTTCACCAGCATGGACCGAAGAACAATCTCACAGATTCAGTAACAAGACAATCATTGACCAGAACGGAGTGCGTACTCATCCACCATCTACAGCACAAACTGACAATGAACTTGACAGCGGACATTTCTCATTAACCGCCTTGGCAGCAATCTGCTTACATTAGAATATTGCAGTTTGGGGAACAACTTGACCAGAACAAAGTGTGTACTCATCGACCACCTACAGCACAAACTCACAATGAACTTGACAGCGGACATTTCTCATTAACTGCCTTGGCAGCAATCTGCTTACATCAGAATATTGCAGTTTGGGGAACAACTTGGTTAAACACTGGACAACTCCCATTCAGCAGGGAACAGAGGTGTCGATCCCAAGATGTTCACACCCTTTGCTACTATTGTTTCAGAAGCTCAGGAAGCTTGCACAGGTGAAGACAAGTAGCCTCTTTCATCAAGAACCAGTGGTCCATTGCTCCAAGTCGTTCAAATTTATATGTGCAATAACAACCGTCTTGACCCATAATCTGAAAGGCACACCAAAACCAATCTCTGTGTGTGTGTGTGTGTGTGTGTGTGTGTGTGTGTGTGTGTGTGTTTGTGTGTGCATCTCGCCATCCCCTCGCCCCCCCATTACTACTACTGTCTGTGATGTGAACATACATGAAAGTCTTGGAAAGATTGTGAGGGGCACCATTGCTCGCATTCATGGACAGGTTCTCTTGGATGACTTACCGAGGATCTGCTATCCGCGTGCTCACTGCTTCCTGAGACCGCATTATCTTTTGTCAAATCACGTCGGAGCATCTGGATTGAGGTCTCTGACCGAGGTAACTCCTCTTTCACTGTTGCCACAAGCAACTTGAAAACGGGTTCGCATACCAACAATCACCACTCAGCAAATCACAAAAATGAAGCATCGGTGAACTCCATCGACATGCAAAATTGAACTGCAATGCAAGTAACAGGCATCTGGGTGGAATTGGGGGGAAATGACAGACTGCCATTCCCCAACTCACACTAAATTGCACTTTTTTGTCATTTTTCATCCATGGCTTCTTCTTTGTTTTTTTACTGCAATGCAAATAACAGGCATCTGGCTGGCATTGGGGGGAGATTACAGACGGCCATTCCCCAACTCACACTGAATTCCTTTTTTTGTCATTTGTTATCCATGGGTTCCTCTTTAATTTTTCCTTTTTAATTGTCTTACAAGTTTGGATGATTCCTCAATGTATGTGTCCTCCTCACACAGGGGCCACTCTAAACTCCTCTGTATCGTTCCAATTTTAACAGATGTCCTGACCGTTGTGATTATGAAATTTCCATCTTATATTATCTGTAGATTCACTACTATTGAAATCAGTCTTGCAAATTCACACTCAAACATGCATGCAACAGATGAGAATAACTTGGCGCTGTGCACCCAACTCAAACTCGGAGATATGGTAGCTTGCAACTCAACTCAAATCCAAGTTTACTTCAGTTGACTATGGCGCTGGGCGCCCACACTTACACGTTCGACTCAGAGTTCACACGCAACTCGACTCCGGATCACCCTGGATACCATGCACGCCAACCACTGCACACACACACACACACTCATTAACTGTCTATGGCTATGGCGCATGGCCACTAACAGCTAACTAGCCTATCACTAACTTCTGCCCACTTCGTCTTCAGGCCATCTGCAGACCTCCCTTGCACAAGACGCCCGAGCAGCGCTTCCACAGAGCTTCCGCAGGAATGAATGAATGGCTGGACGCAGCCTCTTGATTTATACTTCTGTGTTGCATTGGTCTGCCTTGTATCCCTGGCCCATGATGCACACAGTCCCCCCCGTGGTACTTGCTGGACCGRACTGGTACTTTCTAGACTTTCCCATGACTGCATAGTGACAACCCTACGACGCAGTGCAGTTGCACTGGGGTCCTACTATTTGCCCTTGCCACTTGTCCTCGTCTCCAACATGGGCTTGCTTTAGTCACACCACTTGACCACTTGCCAACCTTCTAGAAGGACTGCAGCTGGACTTCTACTCTACAGGTCTATGGATCAAATCCTGGCTACCTAAGACCTACAACAGACCTACTTACCACTGGCTGTTCTACAGGTCGCAGGTTCAATTCTTCAAGTTGTCACAGGTATTGTACACAGGTAAGTTGGGGAACTAGGGATCGAACCCTGGGTCCTACATCAGCTACTTCGAACTGGTGAATACCGTTTCACTATATTATTTTATCATCATTATCACCATTACTGTAATGAACCCAGTCTGGAGAAAACTCGTCAAGTGTCAAAGTACAAGATAACTCAGCGCTGAATAATGTCTCCAATAACCATGAAGTGTGATCTGTGATACGATGTCTCTTAACCAGTGGACGAAGGAGAAGAGGGGGAGAAAGAGGGTGGGAGAGAAAAGTATCCATCAACGACCACTCCACTTCTTCTTCTTCGGGCCTCCCTCTCCTCCGCGTCAACAGTCAGTGTCCAAGAAACGAGCCTGACAAGGTCTGATCACATTGAAGTGCCACGTGGCACAGTTCTCCCCTGAAGACGTCACAGCAGCACGCAATGTTGACATCAGCAACAGGTAAGTCTCCTCTCACTCAACCAATACACAGATCCCGATCTCCCTCCTTGTCACGTCCCAAACGACAATGAAGACAGTGTGGCATGTGCCACGTCAGCAATGTTGAAGACAGCGTGGCTTGGGCCACATTAGCAATGTAGACAGCGTGGCATGCGCCATTTCAGCAAGCCAGAAGACAGTTGGCGCCAGAGCAGAGAGGCACCAGCACGCGAATGCAGCAGTCTCGCGTCGTCGTCGCACAGTGCCAGCATCAAGCCAGCGTTGAGCCAGCGTCAAGTCAGCAAGGGAAGACTGAATGTCGACTCCCAGAGGCAGGGTCAATAAGTAGTGTTGACGAGGTTGACCTGCCTCTGGTCCCTCACCCACGGAGGCTCAGATCGACTCGCAGCCGACGGCCTGCATCTTTTACAGTTGCAGACTTCCATTTGGACCGTATGCTTTCTGGATACCTGCATACATTCAAGTGTGTGTGTCTGACCGGCGACCTAGGCTGGGTCCATGCAGACTTTGACTTGTGGGCCTCGTACAGCTGACTTTCGGTAAACTGTCGGGTGCAGGGCTGCTGAGCCACGTCTCAGGGCTCTGGTTTCTCACCCCTGTCGGGCAAAGGGCCGATAGGCTTTTTTTCTATGGCCTGCGGGGGTGGCCTCTAGTCCACGATGAAGCATAGCGTATTGGAGCAGGTTATTGCACTCCTGCCGGCCCAATTTTCGAGTTCCATCGCAGAAATACATTAACTTTCCTTTAAACTGCGCTCATATGCAAATATAACGTCAGGAGCAGTAGGTACTAGTTCTTTCTTCCTAAACCATTTAAGCTTCAGATGGAGGTTGAGACTTAAAACTTTACCTTGAACTGCTTCTGCGGTCTTCCTCTGCCACCTGCAACTTCATAGCCACCATCCATTGAAGGAGGAAACATGGACGGCCTATTGGGAAAATCATGTCCCTCTACATATGGCAGGAGGAGGAGAAGAAGAAGAAGACTGTGGATTATCCACTGTATATTGAAATTCATTCAATAAATAGGTTCGGACTTTCCCGCATATAGTGAAGTAATAAGGTCAGAGATTACTTGTCTGACACGGCAACGAGTTACCTGAGCCTTTGAGAACATTTACCTACGGACAAGCTATCGTTACCTTTATTTTATTTTATTTATGGGACAAAGAAGAAGAAGAAGAAGAAGAAGAAGAAGAAGAAGAAGAAGCTGGAGGAGGAAGAGGAGGAGGAGGAGGAGGAGGAAGACGAGAAGGAGGAAGAAGAGGAGGAAGAAGAAGAGGAAGAAGAAGGGGACGAGAGGGGGGGGGAGGAGAAGAAGGACGAGGAAGAGGACGACGAGGACGATATGGAGGAGGAGGTCGACGAGGACTAGGAGGAGGACATCGAGGTAGACGAGGAAGAGGAGGGGGGGGGGGGGGGGGGGGAGAGGTGGACAGCCTGTCGTATCTCATGTGACCTACCGAATGATCAAGAAGAAGAAAGAGAAGAAGAAGAAGTTCGTCGGGGCCTTTGTCGTTACCTGCAACAGTTACCCTAGCAGCAGCGCCTTCGTCTGCCCGTCCAACACAAACCCTAAACGATTCCGACATGAAGAAGAAGAAGAAGAATGGCGCCTTCGTCGTAGCAGCAGCAGCAGGACAGTTGGGGCCTTCGTCGTAGTAGCAGCAGCAGGACAGTCAGGGCCTCGTCGTAGCAGCAGCAGCAGCAGGACTCTCGATGGCGATGCCGACGGGCGACGGCGCAGGAGCAACTCCGATCGTGCTGGGGGCGAGTGGCAGACCACCCCAGCCGATCCCAGGTTTGAACGGGGGGAAGTTTGGCGCCAAGATCCACCGGCTCTGTGGCCGGCGCGAAATTAAAAGCAAGCCTACTGGGCTCGACACAACGGTTTCTTGGGCCAGTCAGACCCGGTCGGCTTGCGGGAGGCTGACACAAGCCAAAAGGGGGTCCGAAACCCCCCCAGCAGGACAGTCGGGGCCTTCGTCGTAGCAGCAACAGCAGGACGGTAGGGGCCTTCGTCGTAGCAGCAGCAGCAGGACAGTCGGGGCCTTCGTCGTAGCAGCAGCAGCAGGACTCTCGATGGCGATGGCAACGGGCGACGGGCGATGACGCAAGAGCAACTCCGATCGTGTTGGGGGCGAGTGGCAGACCACCCCAGCCGATCCCAGGTTTGAACGAGGGGAAGGTTGGCGCCAAGATCCACCGGCTCCGTGGCCGGCACAAAATTAAAAGCACGCCTACTGGGCCCGACACAACAGTTTCTTGGGCCGGTCAGACCCGGTAGGCCTGCAAGAGGCCGACACAAGCCAAAAGGGGGTCCGAAACCCCCCTACAGATGAGTGCACTGGGGGGGGCCGGCCCCAACCGGGTGCCCTACCCGGCCAGACCGCCCGGGACCTCCCTCGGGCCCCTACCAGTCACTCGGGCGGCCCGGATTCCCACTCGTTTGTTTTTTGTTTTTTGTTTTTTTGGGTCCAAAACCCCAAATAACCCCATCCACACCCCCATAGCCCCCCCCAACACCCCCATACCGCCCCCTAACGCCCTCATACCCCCCCTTTACCACCTACAACCCCCTATAACCCCCAACACCCCCCAACACCCCCCAACACCCCCCAAAAAAATTATTGCGGATTTGGGCTACTCTCCTCAAGCCGCACACGACCATGTCATCAGAAAAGAAAATAAAAAATTTAGGTAGTCTGTGGGTCGGCTCGACTGGTAGGCACACCTATTGCCTACTGTAGGCGTAGGCGATAGGAGCCAAAACAACCCTGGCTTTCTATATATTTTCCTTGACTCTCTTTATGTCTTCTTCATACAAAACAGCAAATTCTCGGGTACCTGGGGGTAGCCTTTGAGTCTGGTCAATGGGACATCGAGGCTTCCAACCTTTGTGCAACACATTTGGTGTTCTCCCTGTAACGGTGTGTATGATTTTATTATATGCACTCGCAATCTAAGGTAAGTTATCATCCCAATCTATCTGATCGGGTCGTACATGCATGTGCAAAACTCATTGGCACAGATGATTCATCTGTTCAGTTTGCCCATTTGTTTCAGGATGTCTACCTGACGACATGGTCAACCTAGTGCCATAGGCTTCCATCATTTTTTGCCATTGTAGACCTGTGAACCGTACATCCCTATCAGAGACGATGTTTTTTGGAAATTCATATTCTGAAACCCATCGCATCTGGAACTTTTGGATGACAAGTTTTGTCTTTGGCAGGCAAGGGAATAAACGTAGCATACTTTGAGAATCG